GTCTGTTGCCAATGGCTACTAGAATTTTTGTTGCAATTGTGGCCATTTCAGTCTGGGGATGTGCAGATTAGGGCTGTGCAATTAATCGCATGCGATTGTCATGTGCATTTCGTCAGTAAAGCCGGTTCCGTGATCGGTGGTAAATCGCCATCACCTGCTTTCAAGATGGAGAGGCATTTAATACAGAGGGCCGTATTTCACTGACAAGCTAGGCAATATTGCGTTCATAATCGAATGTGATTCATTTGCGATTATTAGAGATGCACCGATCGATCGGCCAGTCAGTCTCACTCCTTTCCGATTTCGAGCCGATCCGTTTTGTTACCAGCGGCACAGGCAATAACGTCAGCCGCGCATTCTCGCGCTCTTCTCTCCGACGACCCCTTCTCTCTCACACACACACACACACACACATCTCATTCGCTCTTGTTAAATAGAGTTTGTATTGCGCGTACAAGCTCTATTCAATTTTAGTCATTCCCGCAGGTTTCGCGCTTATATCAAACGCGTGCGCACCACCACTGATCTATATTAGTGGAGCACACAATCCGCGCTCAGTCTCAAACAGCTTGTGAGCCACAAATACCAAAATGAGTGGCTAACTGCACTAAAACGTTCAAATACATAAAAAATTTGGTCAAAATGCCCGTTTTGACGAGTATCCTGTTAAACACAGTCAGTTTTGGAATGTTAAATAGCTGAGAAAGAGACCGCATGTTGTGTAACAGTATATTGGGGCCGTGGATAAACTCTTAAAGGGACCGCAGTCCAATATTTATGCTGCTGTTTGTCATGTTAATCAAAGAACAAAAGACAAAGAAAATAATTTTCTGCTCTTGACTGAACACGTTTTATAACTTTAATGGTAAGCATTAATCTGTATTTAATTTTTACAATGAAGACTACAGAAATTAAAGTAATCAAATGTAAACTAACACTGGATGTGTTATTTTACATTTGATTACTTTAATTTCTGTAGTATTGGAGTAACTGAATAAAAACTTACTTAACCTGAAAAACTTGGTTTCATAGCTCTATTTATTCTATTGCATTTATTTGTGCTGTTGTTTGCCATTTTTTTATGTGTTATTTTATTACTGACTTTTTACTTGTGTTTTTTTATGAAAATATAACTTTGCGTTGAAGAAAAGTAGATTTTTGTTTGTATATGTACATGTATAACTCAATTATAGTTCTTAGAAAGAAAAATCGGAATCGGCAAAAATCGGTATCGGCAGATCACACTAACAAAAAAATCGGAATCGGAAAATTGCAATCGGTGCATCTCTAGCGATTATGAACACGATATTGCCTAATTGTCAGTGATGGTAATCTCCGTGTAGTAAATGCCGCTCCATCTGAAAGCAGGTGCTGGAGATTTATTCGGTAATAAATAAATGTAAATTAAAATTTGGGGGGATTTTTTGCAGCATTACAAGCTATAAATTGAATTTTAAGAATATCTGTTGACATAATTGACATGTATACAGCTTGCAATGATGTGTTACCACATTATTCTAAATAAATTTTATATATATATATTTTCTTTTTAAATCATATGTTCACACAAAATTGGAGCTCAGAGCACCAAGATTAACACGTTATGGTCTTTATTTTCAGTGGACAATCATTTCTTCATAGCCTTACTCTCATTACTCTAACTTTCCTTTCTCTGTGTCTCAGCTGGCTGATCCGTTTTCGGCTGCACCCTTTTAACAAAACAGATTGAATAAGAGACCATATGCTTCCTGAGCATTATGTGTGTGTGTTCTTCTGTTGTCCTCCTCTTGATGGTCTTTCATATTGGAATCCCACTGCCACAGAAATGGCCTCTATTTTATCCCCGTTTAAGTCATCTATCGATCGTCTCATAATTGATTAGAGTACCGCTAGAGTACATGATCGTTACACTGAATGAATGTATGTGAGGAGGAGAGAATTAAAAAAAAAAAAACAATTTTTCACTCCTACTCGCATGCACACCACCAATCCTTTCCTCCAACCACCCACGCTCGAGCACACCACCATCATCACATGCATACACACAATTTGAAAAATAATTTTCCACCATAAGGTGAAAGAATCATTTAGAGTTTCACAAAACACACCATTTAAGTGCATGTTATGCAGACCCTGTTATGTAATTTTGGTTTTAGTTAGGACATTCCAGAATTCAGAAATTTTCTCTCTCATCTGAAGGATCAGTCCGCAATAGTATAAACATTTCAAAATAAGAGTCCCGGTGTATTTCGGGCTTGTTTATAATTAAAAGTCACACGTTGTTGTTTTTTTATTCTGGGCATTATTGGTATTTTGGTTACACAATTAATTGTATTTAATTTAATTTCCATTTCATTCATAGTAAACTATTGTAGTTTCTGGCTGGGATGCTTCCCCACAGGAAGAAAAGACTAAGAACATTATGTGACACATTTGGCACTTTTCCACTGCGTGGTACGACTCGGCTCGGTACGGCTCAGTACGGCACAGCACGGTTCGGCTCGGCACGGTTTGTGTTTCCACAGCAGTTCAGTACCGCTTTAGAGTGGGAGGGATTATTCACATGTCGTTATAGTTGCCCCGCCTATACTGCCACGACTCCTAAAAAAAACTTTTTCATTCCGCGTCGCCCTATCAAGCTCTCGCTGGATCCGCTCCTCTGCTATCAACGAGAGGAACGTCTGTACTTCCGCAACAGACAACAAAACTTTTTGGTTGTAAAAAAAAAAAAAAAGTGCGCTCGTTCAAAACAGTTGCGTTCGATCCTTCGCTGGCTGTGCTGATTTAAATCTAGTGGTTCTTTTGTGTTTGTGTCGCAAGTTCAGTGACACAGGTAGTGACGATTCTCTCCGGCCAATCCGTGATCAGCAGAGTTTACGCGTCACGTTTTGGTAGCGGTACGGTTCACTTGGAACCCCAACCGAGGTGGTACTAAAAAAAGTACCAGGCACTGTACCCAGTGGAAAGCTCCCCAAAAGTGAACCGTACCGTGCCGTACCATGCAGTGGAAAAGCGCCAATTATTCAATATATAGATTTTACTAGTATCAGTAAAATCTGTCTCTCATTCACTGAGAGAGACACTATAAGGGCCTTTCGCACCGCTTTAGTTCCAGAACTAAATGTACAGTCCTAAAGTACTGGGACGATTTTGCGCGAACTATTTCCAAGTACCATTTAAAGGGTTGCATTCGCACCGAGAGTGTGTACTAGGAACCGGTCGACAGCGACGTCATTTGTGCACGGCGTTCAACAACAGAAAAAAAGAAAAACAACGTTAACAACAGGAGGATGGAGGACGCTGTGATCGGAGCTGTGTTTTTGTTGTGTCTTGCGGGTTTCACAATAACGGACATGGAAAGTCGACGTATACGTAAAGCGACTGAAAGAACGGAAAGGAAGACTAAGAATCTCCAACGACAAATGGCAGTGCTACATTTGCTACAAGTGCCTGCACTTCAGCGTCCGTCCATCTATCGCTGTTTTCCATACTTGCAAAATAAGTTGACACAATGTTTACAGTATGTTTACACAGCATTTTAAATCATGGCAGGTGAGGGTGTTTTCATACGCGTGTGGCCAATCAATGTCTACTTACGTCACGATTAGTACCAGTTGTGTTGGTTAGACCCTGCTCCGGAGTAGGAGCTAATTTGGTTCTCGAAAAAGGCAGTCCGGTACTAAAATCGCTCCCAGTTCCGGCGGTACGAAACCGCCAAAAAGTGGGTAGTTCCACAATTAGTTCTGGTACTATGAAAAGGTTCCTGCGGTGCGAAAGACCCTTATATGACAAAGTAAGGAGAACTCTACCATTTAAATGCTGTGATTTTGCATAATTTACAATGCATATAATAATGCATAATATTAGTATGTAATTAAATGTAATAGTAGCCTATGTAATTAAATTTAATTTCAATAAATTAAAATATTGTTAAAAATCACACATTATTTGTTATTTGTCAAATGTAGACCATTTTTGTGCCTTGGGTAATAGGAGGATTTTCCACCCTACTACCACAAGTATATTTCAAACCTGTGGGAGGCACTGAATAAATAATAGAATGTTCTAGGCAAAACCTCAAGGTCATTGATTTCTGTCAAATTTAGGATAGAAATCTTAATTTTGTTCTGAAGTTATGCCAGTAACACAATAAAACTAAAGCTTAGGCCTACATCAAATTATCACATGGCAGCAGAAATCATAGCACATCATTTTTATATTTTCCATTTATTTGTTGAAATACACTGATACGAAATAAGATCATATCTTTATCCATATCATTTTAAATTCATCCCTTATCCAAAACTCAAAACCTATGACTGCTGCGTATTTACATTTAAATCGATAATGGTCTGCGCTCCACTACAGTGCAAAATGCTTTGGCTCTGTGCTGTCCAGTGCATTGCCACACAGACTTTGATATGTCAGCGATGTGCCAAAGATGTAGGCTAGGTTGTAGTTTTGGGTGCAGATCTGAGATAAAGTAATATTAAGTCTATGAGATAAACTAATATTTTTCGTGCAGGTTGCCGAATTTATGCCTACACAGAAGTAAGCCCTGGATCTGCACCAGTACAGGCACACAACTGATGATGGCACCTTTTAATGTTTGGTTGACCTATCAGCAGAGAGGGGAGTTTCTCTGTTTCTCAGCAGTGTCATTCCCGCCCACATGCAGAGTTCTAATATTCAAGCTATTTATTCATTTACTAGCCATGAATAACAAAAAAAATCAAGCCCAATTCTTCTTATTATTTTTTTATGAAAAACAAAAAAGGAACCTTTTTTCCCTGCATTTAAGATTAAATTAAAAAATGAATAGTCGGAAGATATCCTGATTGTTAATGCATGTGTATGTAGAGCAACAAAATATAAAAAAAGTGATATGGAGAGATATGGAAGTAAAACTTCTAAAGCGACTTTTTGTTATGTCTATTCAATTATTCCATCTGCCACAATAATAAGACGTATCTACAACAGGGATAAGAAAACTCTCCTACCTCTTTCTCCATTTTGAACATGTAGTCACAGGCTCCGTAAGATGAGAGCCAGCATAACACAAAACACATCACATTTATGCACACTGTGACGGATCAGCTGCCTCCCCCCTAATTATCATCATCACCCCGTCCCTTAAAAGCCACCCTTCACCAGGTTCCCGACAGGAGTGAGTGTGTGAGAGAGGAGGGGCGCAGAAACAGTCAGGGCTGGCGGCGTGTGATGAGGCACAAGTGAGGTGAATGGAGCCTTGTCACCGCCGCTGTTGAGTGCAGAGCGCGCCTCTCCTCAAGAGACCAGTCTCTTCCCCCAGGCATGCATGCTGGTGTCCTCGTAGGTCTAGGAAGGGAGCACAGAGGGACTCCCCCACCGCCAGAGATACGAGATGCCGGACTCGCAGTCCAGAATGGAGGCCGTTAATCCCCTGAAGCACCATGGCCCAGGGAAGATGAGCTGCTGTGAAGAAGCCACTGCCCCTCGCGCCCCGGACCACAGAGAGGAGCACGTGCGACCGCCGGACTCGACCCCTTACCTGGACCCCTCCTTTCCGAACACTTCCCTTCCTTCACGATTCCCCAGCACAATGAGGACACCAGATCCCCTGTTTATTTTGGACACTCCTTCCCCCTTTGGACACTTTATTCCCCGTTTTGAACTTTTTATGTTTATTTTCTGTTAAATATAAGCCTCTCCAGCCACAACACTCAGATGTGCCATAATAAGATTAGTCTGCCTCGTGCATACACACTGACCCTGTTAGGATGAGGGTATTACCGGGCAGGGACACCGGCAAAGGATAAGTATCGCTTTTTATTTCTCCTCTTTCCTACTACCCGTTTCACTTCTGTTTGTTTTTTTATAACCATTTCTTACTGTGTGTCAATAAGTTGTTGTTATTTTAGCATGTGTGTTTGGCTCAGTGTTATTCTTTTAGGATTACTGATAAACTACTGTAGTTTGATTTGTATTAGTTATCTATTTTAGTTTGTTACAGTTGTAGTAATGTTGTCATTTTATTCGTTTTTTTTATTATGTCTATATAGGTTTTTTATTAAGTTTTAGTTTTATTTAATTTGAGTTATTTCAGTACTTCAACATACAAAATGGGAATGTATTTATATATATGTACATGTGAGTGGCTGTACAAATATATGTAGTTGTTTTTTGGTGTTTGGCTTAGTGTTGTTAGAATCATTATTATACTCATACCTTTTGTTTTTTTAATATTTTGAATTGTTTTTAGCGTTATTTTTTTGTTTTCATTTAAGTGTTTAGTTTTAAAATGTTGTTGTATGCATTTGTCATTTATTTAATTTCCTTATGTGTATATATATAGTATTTATAGAGTTTTAGCTTTTAGTTTTAATTACTTTTTCTTATTTGTAAGTCGCTTTGGATAAAAGCGTCTGCTAAATGACAAAGTAAAAAGTAAAGTATTAACACACAACACAAATTCCTCCCGCTGCCTGAGCAGGTAAATCAAGAGCAGATGAGATGTTTTCATCCTGCTGATGTCTGTGCCAAGATCTGATCAGAGTACTGTGCTAAACCTCACACAATATCAGCAACATTTCAGCCCCCACCAACCATTAGTGGTCCTTTTCGGAGCAACTTAAATTAGATAATGAATTAAACTGTGAGACAGTTGACATGGACTGTTATTCAGCCTCTGTTAAATAGTATGTTCCGCCACTACTACCAGTGGTGGAAAGAGTACTAAGAAATTGTACTTAAGTAAAAGTATTGCTACTTCAGGAATAATTTACTTGAGTACAAGTAAAAGTACTGAAAAATAATATGGCTCAAGTAAGAGTGAAAAAGTTAAAGGCTAGTTTGCTGACAAACTACTCAAGTTACTGCGTTACAAAGTACTTTAGTATTATTTTTCTATTTTTACCCAAATTGAGATGATGTGAGCATTATGGAGCAGGGTTAACCCTAATCCTAACACCCATGTACTGTAATGTCTGTTTCACAAGTGAGACCCAGGAAATCCCTTATATGGACAAATGCATCAGATATCACTACAGCTGAATTAACATGCAGATAGAGACGCTTTGACTGATGAAACGTGGAAGACAATAAACACCCAATTGCAATGCAATGTTAATTGACATAGCTTGTATCACAGTATATAATTTTATAAAAAAATATTTTCTGTCTCACTGTGATAAGAAGCAACATGGAACCACAGAAGCTAACTGTTTCAAACACGACTGATGTTATATAGTGATTTTGGAGCAAAACATGATATTAGTCTCATAAATTGTCATGTTTGACGCTTTGTTAAGCAAACATACTACCTATCCCTGTTGCCAGGAGCAACTGTTTTATAACTGATATTGAAAAGTACATTCACGTAGGGCTGGACAATAATTCAATATCGATATGTATCGCGATATAATTCTTTTCAATAACGGTGATATGATTTTTAATCACATTTCCGATATTTCGATATACGTTACCAGTGTTTCCCATACATTGATTTATTTGTGGCGTTTGACTTCGTTGAATAAACATGAGCACTGCACGTTTCAAAATCATAACGTGGCGCGAGTGTTTTATATGAATGTATCTCTGAAGGGAACCGACTGTCTTCAGAAAAGTTTTGTTGACATTTTCATTTGATCTGATAAAGTAGCGTTCATGAGC